TATCTTTACATCGTGGGAAAGTGTGGATGGACGTCTTTATATCAATGGGCCTTTGTGTGCTGATTTCACGGCTTGAATGATAATATTGAATGATATTGAAAGGCCTACATATTTGTTCCGATTTTTTCAATCTTGTATTATGCATCAAGCGTTCGATCTCTCTGACTGTGACCCATACTGAATGCGATCTTTACTCACACATTGCGATATACAATATTCCCACAAAACGACTGCCGGTTATGTGAATATTATTATCATGTAACGTTTCTTGTATTGTGCACAAATCTGAATATATCAAAAGAGCATTGGTAAAGTTCCCAGGGCCGTTAACCTCGCGCTAACAGGGGTTGTTCTGCCTCAGACATATTACAGACAAAGTTTGACAGACAGTATTTCACGTAATTGAAATATTCAACTAAAGACTATTTGCACGTTGAAAACTGCATGTGCGAGAAATTACCAGGATCATCTGATGTTTTTGAAATAAAAATGACAAAGATGTTAGAACAACTAAGACCATTTGATGTTATAGAAAAATGATTGCAGAATATGGTTAAACACCAAGATCATCTGATGTTTTAAACAATAAATGCAAAAGATACTAAAATTAATATTAAATATGATAAAAACAACGACCATCTGATGTTTACTAGGGAACAAAACATATAAAAAATACACAAAGGGTAAAATGATCAAAACTCTCCACTAGTTTTTTTTAGTTTAGTTTAGTTTAGTTTATTGACCTTTAGCCTTTCGGCTAATCAGCATAAACATTACAATACATTTTACAAAATTGAGGGAGTGATACACAGCAATACAGACATATTATGGAGGATGGACAATATATGTAATTATTCATTTGATCTCAGTTGTGAAGCAGAAATTTAAAAAATTGAAAGATTATTCAGTTTCCTCTTATTTCTAACAGAAAGTAAGTTAATTAATTTAAACATAGACGGTCTAATTCTGTAAAATCTGTCAATGTATTGTGTTCTTACTTCGTTGTAAAATGGACAAACAAGAATAAAATGCAATTCGTCCTCTATATCGTTAAACATAGTCTTTCATTACGAGGTATTCTCTCATACTTGCCCCTGTCTATACGAAGGTCGTGTGAAGATAATCTAGATTTCGCAATGTTTAAAATACAAGATTCAGGAAAAGATTTACTAAGATAATACTGTAGACAATTAACCTCGGGCAGACATCTATATAAAAAAACATTTCGTAGAGTTTTCAAAACGAATGTTCATATTTTGTATAAAAAACATCGCGTAGACGTAGTTTAACGTCCAATATAAATTGATTCTTACATACAACTTTCTGATCATACCAAACATATCCAAAACCTAGAGACATTAATATTGATTTAACATTACTAAGCCAGTTTGCCTTTGTATTTACTTCAGACAACATATCATTATACAAGGCTTTCAAAATACAGTTATCTGTTTCAAGTAATTTCAACCAATACTTAATTATTCTCATTTTCCGTTTTATACAAAGTGGTAATCTTCCAAGTTCAGAGTACAACATATTGTTTGGAGTACACCTTCTAACATTAAGTAAGCGCTTACAAAAATCTATGTGCACTTGAAACATAACTATCAAATATGTATATTTTAGTTTCAATGTTAAAACAATTGTTATTACACATATTCATTATGCGGTATACACATTTTCGACCTTGCTGACTAAATAATATTTTGAGTTTGGGTAAACTTTCCATTATAAAACAATGTTACACCCAGATAATTGAAGGACTCAACAAATTCAATGGTTTTTCCATTGTAATACCATCTGTTAGTATTTGAAAGATTACAGCCATTACGAAAGACAACGATTTTCGTTTTGGCCACATTGACCTTTATATTCCATGTGGTACTATACTCATACAAGGTATCAAGCATAGTCTGAAGTCCTTCTATGGACTCAGAAAAAGGACAGTATTGTCCGCATACATAATCAAAAACAGCGATGTATCTCTTAACTCCACACATTCAGTGGTTTTCATGATCAACTCATTTCCAAAATCATTGATACAAAGAAAAAAAAAGGAAGGAGATATCTCCGACTCATATTTTACACAAGATCTAACCATTTCATAGATGGATTTAACGATAGTGTACATTTTTCCAGTGACCATATTCCTTGCTGACTTATAAAACAATTTCTTACGATTAATAGTGTCAAACGCTTTTCCATAGTATATGAAACAACAACAGAGTTTTTTCTTTTGTAACAAAAATCTATTAATTACGCCATGAAGTGTAAAAAGAGCATCAGTTGTCCCAAAATTAGGGCGAAAACCAAACTGAGCATCTGATATAATATTTTTATGGTTATACCACTGACTAGTATGGTTATACCACTGACTGGTATGGTTATACCACTGACTAGTATGGTTATACCACTGATTAGTATGGCTATACCACTGACTAGAATGGTTATACCACTGACTAGAATGGTTATACCACTGACAAATATGGTTATACCACTGACAAATATGGTTATACCACTGAGTAGTATGGTTATACCACACTGACTAGTATGGTTCTACCACTGACTCGTATGGTTATACCACTGATTAGTATGGCTATACCACTGACTAGTATGGTTATGCCACTGACCAGTATGGCTATACCGCTGACTAGTATGGTTATGCCACTGACAAATATGGTTATACCACTGATTAGTATGGCTATACCACTGACTAGAATGGTTATACCACTGACAAATATGGTTATACCACTGAATAGTATGGTTATACCACCCTGACTAGTATGGCTATACGGCTGACTAGTAGGGTTACACCACACTGACTAGTATGGCTCTACCGCTGACTAGTATGGCGATACCACTGACGAGGAGGGTTATACCACTGACTAGAATGGTTATACCACTGACTACTATGGTTATACCACTGGCTAGTATGGTTATACCACTCACTAGTATGGTTATACCACACTGACTAGTATGGTTATACCACTGACTAGTATGGTTATACCACTGGCTAGTATGTAGTGATCGGAAAGTTTATACAAGGTTGGAGTCAACAATAAACTTTATGTTCCCTATTAAACACCTCGTGTAAATGTAGATTGTTCTTGTTTAAAACATATTTGGGCTAAGTGTTAAGTCACTCGTTAAAAGTCGAGACACTCACAGTAATAATCACTATTCTAACAGTATGTTCTTACTGAGAACACAAGCACTCTATATTCGCATATTTTATTATTTTTTCTTTTATTACCCATAACTTTTATATTAAAATGTCTTTTATATTATAATATTAATGGAAATTCAATTTTCTTAATACCTTACCTATAACTACTGTACTGAAGGTAACACTATACACCGCCATTCCGAGATATACGGTACGATTGTGTAGGCTACCATTGTCCGCTCTGTTTAACGGCAGCTTTATGTGGAATTTAAATGCAATGTTTTTTGATTGTACTAGGTTATGTGATCCCTTTTTATCTGTGAAGAGGATCAAGTACTGGAGCCCTCCCTGGGCTGAGCGTTTTGTGCGTCAGAACCTTGATACAGCTCTCCACGGCCAGTGTACGGCTGTTTGTGTGGCTTTATTAACTGTATTACGGGCGAAACCGCTATAACGGCACATAGCCGCCGGAATCAATTCAATACTTCAGACATGACTGCGCGTAACCTCCGTTTACTTGGAGCTTCTGTTATATTCAATACCGATTCATAGATCAAATATTTACCAAATCTCGATAGCTCATGCAGTAAATTCTATGTCACGGGAAAATACTAAATTCAATGACAAAAAAGTCATTGATCTTGAAATGTTTTCAGTAGATATAATTTGCATATCCAACATTATGTTGAATTCTGTCCCATTGCGTCTTAATGTTTGACGTTTTAAATCAAAGCGATATCTTGAATGAAGGTGAAAGCACAAAACGCGCTGGCCTGGGCGTCAATTGAAAACTGTTTTGAATAAAATGTTGAGAATTTCCACTTTGTTTTTAAATGTGAAATACAGATTGCTGTTATATGTAATTGCTGATAAATTCATTTATTATGTACACGTTTCGAATAAGTAACAATCTGAACTCAGCCTGAGTCTCTTCATTCATTCTCCACTCTTAGCTACCACGCGTGTGTGTATTTTGTGGGGGTGCCGTATACGTTAATACTTTACAAACCAAGATAGATGTTAGCAATAACTTCGGTTATGCTATTACAAAAAACGTACCACAATATACCACATCGTCATTACACCAGGAAATTATCGAAGCTTAAATCGATACAAAAATACAACAGCAAAAAAATGTCAGGCAATATAAAACAAGCAACTCAAACAGCAGGCAATGTGGAATCATCAACTCAAACAGCAGGCAATGTGGAATCATCAACTCAAACAGCAGGCATTGTGGTACAAACAACTCAAACAGCAGGCAATGTGGAATCATCAACTCAAACAGCAGGCAATGTGGAATCACCAACTCAAACTGGAGGCAATGTGGAACAAGCAATTCAAACAGCACGCAATGTGGAATCACCAACTCAAACAACAGGCAATGAAGAACAAGCAACTCAAACAGCAGGCAATGTGGAACCACCAACTCAAACAGCAGGCAATGTGAAACAAGCAGCTCAAACAGCAGACATTGTGGAATCACCGACACAAACAACAGTCAATGAAGAACAAGCAACTCAAACAGCAGGCAATGTGGAACAAGCAGCTCAAACAGCAGGCAATGGGGAATCATCAACTTAAATAACAGGCAATATGAAATCACCACCTCAAACTGGAGGCAATGTGGAACAAGCACCTCAAACAGCCCGCAATGTGGAATCACCAACTAAAACAGCCGGTAATGTGGAACAAGCAGCTCAAACAGCAGGCAATGGGGAATCACCAACCCAAACAGCAGGCAATGTGGAATCACCAACTCAAACAGCAGGCAATGTGGAATCATCAACTTAAATAACAGGCAATATGAAATCACCAACTCAAACTGGAGGCAATGTGGAACAAGCAACTCAAACAGCAAGTAATGTGGAATCACCAACTCAAACAGCAGGTAATGTGGAACAAGCAACTCAAACTGGAGCCAATGTGGAACAAGCAGCTCAAACAGCAAGCAATGTGGAATCACCAACTTAAACCGCAGGTAATGTGGAACAAGCAGCTCAAACAGCAGGCAATGTGGAATCACCGACTCAAACAACAGGCAATGAAGAAGAAACACCTCAAACAGCAGGCAATGTGGAATCACCAACTCAAACAGCAGACAATGTGGAATCATCAACTCAAACAGAAGGCAATGTGGAACAAGCAACTCAAAACGCAGGCAATGTGGAATCATCAACTCAAACAGCAGGCAATGTGGAACAAGCAACTCAAACAGCAGGCAATGTGGAATCACCAACTCAAACAGCAGGCAATGTGGAATTACCAACTCAAACAGCAGGCAATGTGGAATCAATAACTCAAACAGCAGGCAAAGTGGAATTATCAACTTAAATAGCAGGCAATGCGGAATCACCAACTCAAACTGAATGCAATGTGGAACAAGCAACTCAAACAGCAAGCAATGTGGAATCACCAACTCAAACAGCAGGAATGTGGAACAAGCAACTCAAACTGGAGGCAATGTGGAACAAGCAACTCAAACAGCAGGCAATGTGGAATCACCAACTCAAACAGCAGGCAATGTGGAACAAGCAACTAAAACAGCAGGCAATGTGGAATCACCAACTCAAACAGCAGGCAATGTGGAATCATCAACTCAAACAGAAGGCAATGTGGAACAAGCAACTCAAAACGCAGGCAATGTAGAATCATCAACTCAAACAGCAGGCAATGTGGAACAAGCAACTCAAACAGCAGGCAATGTGGAATCACCAACTCAAACAGCAGGCAATGTGGAATTACCAACTCAAACAGCAGGCAATGTGGAATCAACAACTCAAACAGCAGGCAATGTGGAATCACCAACTCAAACAACAGGCAATGTGGAATCACCAACTCAAACNACAATGTGGAATCATCAACTCAAACAGCAGGCAATGTGAAACAAGCAGCTCAAACAGCAGACATTGTGGAATCACCGACTCAAACAACAGTCAATGAAGAACAAGCAACTCAAACAGCAGGCAATGTGGAATCACCAACTCAAACAGCA